CTTCCACATCATCAAAAATATTTTACCAAGCAGTTATGGTACTAAACAAAGCTGTAGATTTTGCAAAGAATTTATTTTATTTTTGTGGAGTTTTATGTCATGGTGCAATAGGGGAAAAAAATTATAAATATAGGTTTAAATCAACTTAATGACTGAAACAGAAATGCCATCCCTTATATATACAGCTGAATAAAGTTCCAGCACCTTATTTAAATCTTCCAACAGTGGATGCACAATCATCACAGAGCAATGACAGACATTTCTGATTGTACTTCACCATTCCTTTGTCTAATTAGACGGAACACCAATATGTTCTGCTGCTTCCAACATGTCTAAGAAGTGTTCATGTTTACCTGCAGGTTTCCAAAGCAGCAGCTGACCTGATGGCGTACTGCGACGCCCACGCCTGCGACGACCCCCTGATCACCCCGGTGCCCACCTCAGAAAACCCTTTCAGGGAGAAGAAATTCTTCTGTGCTCTGCTTTGAGACAAATCATCAGGGATTGTTGTTGAATCAAAGTACAACTGTACAGTATGTACATGTATGTACAGTGTGTACTTGTACTTCCAACTCAAGCAAAATGTCGGTGTACTATAGTAACCTCACAACAACAAAAAAATAGCTGTCAATGTACAGTTAAGAATCAGCGTCAAAATATTTAATTTTCTTAAACTGCAACATTTCAAGGATTTGAGACAAAACTGAAACGTCGGATTAATCAAAATGCGATGAACCTCATGCGTTAAGTAACTGCCAAAATGGACAATAAACGAATCACCTGGTTTCTTTTTTTTTCGCTTCTTATGGGCAAACATGGATATGTCACTTCTACATTTAGTTCATAGTTTAAGTGGTGCTATAAGCTCAGATTTGGAAAAAAAGGAGCCAGACATAAATTCAACATTTCTCCCCTAATAATCTGTTTTCATTCGGCGTCACATATACGCTGATGATATTCTGCTTTCTCTACCAAAAGGCCAAAACTCCTCGTTTTCAGCCTTACTCACACCAAGACTTATATATTTTTCATGTTTTGGCAGTTACTTGTTTAAATAAAAGACAACAGCCATTTTAAAACTCAATCCTACAGCTCATTCATTTCTAGGGTTTGACAATATTTTTAGCATTATACTCATTTATAGTGTTGCTGTGGCGTGGATGTGGAAGCGTGTGTTTATGCATAGGTGCTAGTGTGAAAATTAAACAACAGGTCCAAGTACCCGAGCACTGTAATTTGGAGGTTTTATAGTTTGATAGTGCACTGACCCATTATTGTTAATCCCAGGAATTATTCATGGACCTTTTATTTGTAATCGAAGCCGCAAAAATCAGCTTAGGTTAAGTCTGTTGTGTGAATAATATTCTATTTCATTAGAGCACAAATTAACTTCAGCAGTTATAATCTATTGAAGTATGATGGTAGATTATATTCTGTCCATAAAAGGGATTATGTGGCCATTTAAAACAGAGGTTGTTGTGGAAACTGCATTTTATACAGTATTTAACAAACAAGCTGGTTCCTTTACAAATCCAAAACATATTTAAAACGATATCTGGACCCCGCCACCCACCCTACCCCCAGTGATTTACACTATTAAATCTGAAACTGTGGAAGAAAAGGTTATCCTGGAAAATGAAGCACTGAAATAAACTTCTTCTCATCAAAGATGAACTCTGTCTTGTTGTTGATTTTTTTTACTTTGTTTAATTACGAACACATAAAAGGCAGATCTTCAGTACAGTTTACATTTGGGGATATTTGAGCAATCAGGTCATGCCTCCCTTTCATTAACAGATCTCTATTTCTAACACCTAAATATGACATTTAGATGCATTTGCTATGCTAAAAGTAGAAAAACTGTATTGTGATTTATGAGTAAAATGCAAGCTGTTACAGACAAGTGTTTCTTGAGCCTTTTAAAACGAGATGCTCCTGTGCCGAAAGTCTTTCACAGTGTTTGGGAAAGAGACTGTTACTTCGAAATGTTTACTTAACAATTAAGAATCAGGCTAATTGCAGTGATGCACCAATCTAGTTGTTTACTAATAAAATCAAATACCTGGGCTGAGCATAACGGCCAATACTACATATACTCACCGGCCACTATATTAGGTACACCTGTCCAACTGCTCGTTAACACTTAATTTCGAAGCAGCCAATCACATGGCGGCAACTCAGTGCATTTAGGCATGTAGACATGGTCAAGACAATCTCCTGCAGTTCAAACCGAGCATCAGTATGGGGAAGAAAGGTGATTTGAGTGACTTTGAACGTGGCATGATTGTTGGTGCCAGAAGGGCTGGTCTGAGTATTTCAGAAACTGCTGATCTACTGGGATTTTCACGCACAACCATCTCTAGGGTTTACAGAGAATGGTCCGAAAAAGAAAAAACATCCAGTGAGCGGCAGTTCTGTGAGCGGAAATGCCTTGTTGATGCCAGAGGTCAGAGGAGAATGGCCAGACTGGTTTGAGCTGATAGAAGGGCAACAGTGACTCAAATAACCACCCGTTACAACCAAGGTGGGCAGAAGAGCATCTCTGAACGCACAGTACGTAGAACTTTGAGGCAGATGGGCTACAGCAGCAGAAGACCACACCGGGTGCCACTCCTTTCAGCTAAGAACAGGAAACTGAGGCTACAATTTGCACAAGCTCATCGAAATTGGACAATAGAAGATTGGAAAAACGTTGCCTGGTCTGATGAGTCTCGATTTCTGCTGCGACATTCGGATGGTAGGGTCAGAATTTGGCGTCTACAACATGAAAGCATGGATCCATCCTGCCTTGTATCAACGGTTCAGGCTGGTGGTGGTGGTGTCATGGTGTGGGGAATATTTTCTTGGCACTCTTTGGGCCCCTTGGTACCAATTGAGCATCGTTGCAACGCCACAGCCTACCTGAGTATTGTTGCTGACCATGTCCATCCCTTTATGACCACAATGTACCCAACTTCTGATGGCTACTTTCAGCAGGATAATGCGCCATGTCATAAAGCTGGAATCATCTCAGACTGGTTTCTTGAACATGACAATGAGTTCACTGCACTCAAATGGCCTCCACAGTCACCAGATCTCAATCCAATAGAGCATCTTTGGGATGTGGTGGAACGGGAGATTCGCATCATGGATGTGCAGCCGACAAATCTGCGGCAACTGTGTGATGCCATCATGTCAATATGGACCAAACTCCCTGAGGAATGCTTCCAGCACCTTGTTGAATCTATGCCTCGAAGAATTGAGGCAGTTCTGAAAGCAAAAGGGGGTCCAACCCGTTACTAGCATGGGGTACCTAATAAAGTGGCCGGTGAGTGTACAGTCTGATACTGTTGAATAAATCACCTATACACCTTATGTCAGTAAAGCTGTTGAACCTGACATACTTTTTTAATTACACATTGAAAAAGATATAAATGTACTTGATGTAATTTAATACTGAATATTAGCAGCAAAAATGAATAAACACTTCTATGTTCACAGCAAATAGATATTATAATAGAACATAAGCCTAAAATGTGCTGTTACTAATAAATTACAGCACAAAATATTAATATATTAACATTTTATTTTACATTACTAAATTAAGGGGAGTTATGGCCTGGTGGTTAGGGGAATTCCTACAACATAAGGCAAGTTAAATTCAACACTTTTTTGTTCCCTGAAATAAACCTTTAAGAACAACTTCCCAATAAACACAAGAAACCCTGGTTGCAAAAAATTTAACCTGATGTTTATTTTAACATAAAAATTACTTTCTGGCCCAGTAGAAATGTTTATAATTTTGAAAAACTTTCCATATAGGAAGATGGTTAAAAACACACTAATATCAGATATATTTTTAAAAACTAATGATTGGAATTCACAAACTTTGTTTTGATCCCTACTCAAAGTCCATAATAGCTCTGCTTTCATTGTGGGCGAACCGCCAAACATTATCCAGAGATTTGGTGCTACTGGGGCTTTTTTTGAAGTCGGAGATGGCTGTAGAGATACGGGTGGAACAGAACTGAGAAATAGCTGCTGATTCTCTGTAACTTCACTTTAGTGCTTTGTTTTTCACTCCTCACATGTCTGACTTCACAGCTTTGATTCCCATAATGCCGAGCTTGAATGACTTCTTGCTCTAAATACGCCATTCCTCATACACATCACCTGGCTCCGGTTTTTAGCCATGCAGAAAGCTTTTGGCTGGATAGCCAATTTTTTATAGAATTTTTTATTGCATCACCCCAAGGTGTATTTGCAACATAGTTTTTATTGGTTCTGCTGTCAGGATGGAACTAATAATGCTTCCAGCGAAGCCGTTCAGTAAATTTCAAATAATGATCATGAATTATTATAATTTTTAGATATGAATTACAAAAACAAAATCCTGTTTATGACTTGGTGACAATTTCAACAACTATGAAAGTCTGATTTAAGACATTTTAATACCAATTAAGGTCATATTTTTATATTGAAGAATTCAATGCCTTTTAAGACTTTTTAAGGATCTGCAGGGAACCTGTCCAAGCCCCACTCCCACAGACGGACACTCTGGCTCCATGAGCAAGACTCTTAAGCCCACACTGCTCCCCGGACGCTGCACAATGGTAGCTCACTGCTCCCCAAGGGGATGGGTTAAATGCAGTTAATTTTTGTTGCTCTCTATTTGTGAATGTGTAATGACAATAAGAGCTGAAAAAAAAAATAAATAAATAAATAAAGGACTTTGTTATTCGTCTGATATCTTATCCAGCGAATTAAAACCTGAGCCAAGATCTGATCCGTGTATCCGATCTGTACATCTGTAGTTAGCTGTTTTATAAATCTTGAAAGAGCATGTTGAACATTATCGAATATTGGACTGACCGACCCCATTGCATTCTTTCAACATTTTACAAATAAACTGTTAAATCTAAACTGTAGAAAAGGTTATCCTGAAAAATTAAGCTCTGAAATAAACTTCCTGTCACTGAAGACACTGTGTGTTATTTCTTTAAATGAACACGAGTCCTGTGTGAATGTGACACATGTCGTTTATTGTTTTTTTTTCAGTGAGATCAAAACGAACGGGCCAGTGTTTTCACAGATACCTCAATGACCATTTTCATATAGCTGTTGGTGGCGTCTAGATATCAATCTGCATTGTGATCGATATCCCAATTAGTGATAAATACATCTTTACAACAGCATGCGATAAGGCTTCTGACAGCTAAAACTAAACGAGGGTCAGAGCGAATCGTCACCTAAAAAGCAGTGCACAAGTGTTCGAGCTACAAGTCAGGTAATATAGTTTATCTGAACGGTTTCCAGGTTTGTTGCATCAGCATCTTCAGTCATGTACATTTCCCTCTCCAGGTAACCCAATGGGGATGTTCCTTCATTTTTTCAAGTCCAAACAGAAAAGATCAATTTCTAAAGTTTTCTACGACTTTACAGCTAGAACAAGAATCAAATCATTTCAGCTTTATTTTTAGCAGAAAAGGTAACTTTTTCTGAGTCGTCCAACAAAACAGCCTAACAAGGACTTAGAGCAGAATTTATTATTTAGTAAAAAATCCTTTTGTCAAACTTAGCAAGTGTGTTAAATGCAGGCAGCATCGCAGTTTTCTACAACAGCAGTGGCAAATGGAGCAAAACTGAACTTTTTGTTCGCTAACAAATACTGTGGTAGAAAACTAATACTGAACATCGCCCTGTAGACAGCAGTTAGTCAGCATCATGCTTATCTTTAGCGGGAACTACAATTAAAAATAGTCCTTGTGAAAAAAAAACTCTGAACTAACAGTGATTTTCTACATGCGTGAGTATTAAGCACAGAATGGCAAATTTTCAATGCAGTTTACTTTTTTTTTATATTTAAACCAAGGTATCAAGTTAAGCGCAGATCTTTATTCCAGACGATAAAACAGAAGTGTAATAACATTTAAAAGCCCTAGCTACAGTAAAAGGAGCAAAAACCACAACCTGGATTGTTCGTGAACTACAAGCAATACAGACAGTGATGGTATAGATGTGTTAACATTGGAAATTATTTCACCTGTTTTGCATAAAAAGGGCATTAAGAGTGAGTAGACATTAGAAGGTGTCATTACTGCATAAAAGCTGAAACACACAGCTTTCATCCAACTCTACACGCTCAGATTCGACTCTTCAAACAGCTGCTGAGTCAATCCCAATAAAATCAGAGCCGATGTGTTTTGGCATTAACTTAAAACTGAGCAGGAATCTGTTGAATGGAAATAAAGGCTGTGTGTTACTTTAGTGGTTTAGTGAAAACTAGTGAGGATTTGTCGCAGAATTGTCTGGGGATAGCTGAGGAGGTAATGTACATTTCAGACTTCAGAAGTAAAAAAAAAAAAAGAAAGAAAAGAAAGAAAAAAAGATCGACAACAGGATTTATAGGAAGGCGTCACACCATTCCTTAAGACAGCCGTAGCAGTCACGTTGCTGCTTGGCATTTGCTCCACAGGTGTCTTTAAGCCAGTCTTTGAAAAGCTCCTCGTCTTTCTTCAGAACTAGAAACTGGCCCAGGACAACGTACGCCTGGGGAGGCAGAAAAAAAACATGCACGTTAAAAAAAAATACAGCATTAAACCGGTAAGGGAACCCTGTTGTACAGGAGCTTAAAAGCTCAAGCGTCAACAGGTTTTATACAACAGTCAGTTGGCCATTTTCCAACAATCTACCAAACAGAAAATGAGAAATAAAATGTTCTCTTTCACATTTCTAAGCTAGACCTGTCACTATCATCAAATTTATTATCATCTGGAATCCAAAAAAGGACTTCTACATTATTTTTAAGATAACACATTGTGTCATAAATGTTCTGATGCTCCAGGAATAAGGCTCATTTGATTCCTGTCCAAATTCCTTTAAAAAAAGAAAAACGTTTCTTTTACACAAAAACATTCTTTCTGAAACTGTTCCATCGCTGCATTGTTTTATTACTGTTCTTTCAGTTTTATGTTCAGCCTCATCATTACTGTCATACTTAGTTTAGAGTTAATCATCTAAAGCAGTTTACTATGAAGCATGTTTGATTTTTTATTTATTTGTCTTTTCATTTCAAGAGAATGTGTTCTGTTTGGGAACGTCAACTCAACATTAACATTACAGGTATTTATAAAACAATACCTGTCCAAGCCCCCTGATGATTAGGTGGTCATTTAGGTTGTTTTGATTAAAAACATGATAAACAATGACCTTTGGGACTTAGAAAACAAGCCCATTGCTGCACAATGCAGCCGTGGATCGGAATCAGCTCATTTTTTTCTTGGATTAAAAAAAAAAAGGTGATGAAATTTGTGAAATTATGCATAAATATGGACAATTGTAAAAGAATAAGAAAATACAAATATTAATTCCTTATTTGTTCGGAGTTAAAACAAAAACTTCTGTCCAAGACTTTACATACTTAAACAGCCCAAGCATAAGAAAAAAAATTAACAGGAGGGTTATTGTCAGACTTAATTTGCAGACAGTATTGGACATTACAGTATTTTTCCAGATGCACAGTATTTATATTGTAAAAACACTGTACAGTACAGTATTTTATTTTTTTATTTTCTTAACTTTGTCACTCATTCTGTTATTTTTATAAAAGATTTTTAAGGTCCACATTTGTGTGACCACTTTTTCTATAACCTCTTGCTGCCGTAACACCACGATTTGCCCATTGTGGGACAATACAGGGATTTTCTATTCTATTCTAAACTGGCATTCAAAAGAACGAAAACACTTAAAAAAAAAAGGTATTTTTTAATACATGAAGAAATAAAAACATTCTCACCTTATCAAAGCCTTTTTCCTCCAATTTTTTGCCTAGGACTTCTCCGATGCCTGCTAGAGCGTTCACAGGCTTTTCCCCCATGGGTTCGGCGACGAACTCTTTATGTTTTTGGGATGTCGAAGACATGGCTGGGTCACAAATGTGAGGGCAGAGCTGCAACATGAAGGAGCACAAAGGAGACCAGTTGATAAGAAGTTCATTTTCTAAATAAAAATCATTCCTCTACCAAAGAGTTTCTTTTTAACAGGAGTAATTCATTGATATGGTTTAGTTTTTCTTTTTAATTATTACTAATAAAAATATAAACCGCTGATTGAGTAATTGATGAGCCTTATTAATCTCTCAGTGGGGAAAAATTTGTATGGGATATATATAGTACATACAGTGCATCCACATATGGCAGCTTTTTTTTAAATAGGATCATTATACAGGGTTATTGCATAGGGTGTTTACATGGGTATTAACCCTTTATAGAGCAAGTTATTATTTTTCATCCCTTGCATACCCCTTGAAAATGGAGTCCCACCCGTCCCGCAATGAGGTCTAGAAGCACAAGATCTATATCCAGCCATTCAGCAAAGATCCTGCAACATGGCTACACATCTTACTTTGGCATTTGGCCAATTAGATAATCTCTTGAATGATATATTAACTACTGTAAATTAAGTTGAAAAAAAAAAGGTTAACATGTCAAGAAAAAAAAAAGGTAAAAAGCTAATTGAAAAGTTGAAAAATAAAGTTGAAAAGTTAATAGGCCTAGTTAACAATTATATTTAGGTTTATGAACTTAAATTTAAGTGCCTGTATCAGCATTAACGCCTCTAAGGTTATGTTGGACCAAAAAAAATGTGTGTTTTTCATGATTTCTTCTAGAAGCACTTTAGTTATTTTACTTAAAATATTCTGCCGATTTAGCGTTTCTTGTTATTACATTGATATTCATTTTTTAATGTTAAATCGTGTCCTGGACTCCAATAACACTACTGGCTTGAGCACTGGGGAATAAAACTGAAATCTAGATGAGCCATTTTTTTCTTAAAATAAGTGCATTTGTTCTTGGATTGAGGAAGCAAAAGAGACATTTTGCCAATGGAATAAGACAATTTACATTTAAAATAAGAAGACACAATTGCCCTGTCTTATTTCAAGTGCATTTTATCTAAATATCTAATTTTTAAAAGTAAAAATACTTCATTGGGAAGCTATCTCATGTACCTACTCAAATTAAGGGTAAATACACTTAATTTAATACATTTTAACTTATTTCTAGATCGTTTTTCCAGTGAAATGTTAATTTTCAAAGTATTTCACTGAGTGCCCTATACAGGGTAAATATAAATGGATATTTATTGCACAGGGTAATGCACATTGTAAATGGTAAACTGCACAATATACATTGCACAAGATAATACCGTTGTAGTGTCGCGTTGTGCACTCATCTAAGAGAAAATGTAATCATAAATGACACTTTAACACTTAAAAGGCTTTTCTGCTGTATTTATTGAAACATCTTTGTTGGTGGAGCTTGAACTACAGCAAATAAACGTTGAGATTCTTTAGAAACAGCGGATTAGTCCTTTATCAAGCGCTGAATAAAAAAAAAACAGGAGCAAAGTTCACTCCTAGTGTCCTTACAAGCCATTTATATCGTGTCTTCCTCCAACCACAGTGGAAAATGTTTCATTTCTTTACTAACTGATCAGAAGCTCCTGTTTCTCAGAAAGCTAGCTGTGAAATGGGCGCGCGACGTCCACAGCTTTCTGCTAGTTTCCAGCTAAACGTCGTTTTAACCAAACTTTATCCCGTAAATCCCGCAACCAAGAGGCGAGTTACTGTTTTCCATCATTTCCTAATCAATCTAAAATCTCACAGCGGGTTCAACATTTGAAATGAGCGCTTTTGAAAAATGATGTAGCTCAAACGGATGGCGCCTTTTGGCTAAAGTAGCAACTGTGTTTCTTTGCTTATTTTACATCTAATTTCCTTTCATATTCTGACTTTTTTTATGATTATTCTAGAAACTTTTAACCCGTTTAAAAAGCCACGCAATTAAACCGCGAGAGAACCTACCTTATAGTCTTGTCTGAAATAAATGAAGCCGAAGCAACAAGCTGTTTGCTTTCAGTTTCCACCGGTACCCACAATGCTCTGCGCCAGCGCCACTACGTTGGAGGGAATTCTTTACCCTGCGTGTGAACTTGCAGGCTTGCAGAGCGAACTGTGAAATACGTTTGTAAATATTTTATGACCCTCATCTTATAAGAAAACCAACCTAAATTGACTGGACTGACCCCCAAAAAGGGAATGACTAGATACTAATAACCCAACCTCAGCAGATTTCTATAACTCTCTATAGAAGACTACTTTTCATGTTTACGTTATATGCGCCTTTTTTTGCAGCCCAGAGAACTCAATACCTCTTTGATGTTTTGGCTCCTGTTAAAAAAAAAAAACTGGATTTAACTGCTTAAAAAAAAAAAAAAAAAAGACCCGTTTAGGCAAACTTCCATTTAACCTGTTCTATTAATTGACTTTTGTTAGGTAGAAAACTGTAATTTCTTTTGAAAGATCCTGCATGCAAAAATCTTTACTATTAAAGAATAAAAATTTATTCCTGTGTCTTTCCAGGGGGCTAATCAGGTTTTCACAATCAAATAATTACGACTTCAAAGAATGTCTTATTATTAAAGCCTAGTTTTAACTCATTCATGTTTACATTCCCTTTTTCCAGCAGCTAAGTGTTTACTAGTTTGCCACACCTGTTCAGACCAGAATTGTGAATAGTCTGTAAACAAATCAGCTTGCATTTATTTGCAAACGTTGCTGAACAAGTGTAGAGGGTAAAGCAGCAGAGCATTACTTTTTTTTTTCTATACAGAAAAACAAATGGATCAAAATAAATCACACAACAAGGAAACTACTCAAGTTTATTAACTATTAAGTAACAGTATACAAAGACTAATGGGCTGTCCTAGGAAGTTTTCTTCTTGTCATAATTGTGCGCATTAATCACCATCCTCCTGTAACTAGGCTCCAGCATTTGTATTCGTCTTTGGGAACAGGGCCAAGCTTGAGTGGGTATGAGGTGACGGGGATGGAGGAGGAGGGCGTGTGTTTAGAAGCAGCAGCAGCCTACAGCTCAGCTAGAATGTTGGAAGAGAGACTGCAGGTCAGGCCGGTGCCATCAGGCTCCACATTGATCTTCTTCACGACTCCGTCTTCCACCAGCATTGCATACCTGAAAAACGTAAATCAGAACAGATTTAGACCGTAATCCAAAGGTCTATTTGTAGAAGTGTAAAGCTGAGTCTGAACCAATCATAAAAAGATTGTAAAATCATTTTATGTGTTCCAGAGATAATCAGAGATCAGATTGATTGCTTCCATGTTGGCTTAGCGATACTTTTAAAATTTTGTAAACCCTGCAACTGTTTGTCATATTAAAAAACACCATATTCAGTAAACAAGCATCCCAAATCATGAAAGAGGGGTCTGGCTGCAGAGCTGCACTGTGAAATCTCTCCTACTGTTAGAACAGGAAGCTTATTCAAAGACTTTCAAAGTAAAAGCAAAGTTAATTCAAAGGCTTTCTAAAGTAAAAGCTAGCTTCTACAAACACCCCGGGAAGCCACCTTCTTTTCACAAAGAAGTGCTGTTATGCTGCAAACTTTTGAGCACGCGCAGTTTTACTCCCAACCAAACTCCTATCTGGTATAATAGATATGTGCTACATAGAAAAAAAGTCTCTATTTGGATCACTGGATGGAAAAGGGCATTTGGTCTATAAGACATTTTCTGAACAACAATGGAGGTTGGCTGTCCTATGAGGATTTTTGCTTACTGTAATTTAAAACGCTCCTATGCTCAGTATATTACAGTCATAAACTCAAGTCTAGCAGCAAACACGTGCTGCATGCAATTCCTGAAGGCTTCGAATACAACTTCCAGAATAAACTTCTGGTCCTGACAGTGCAGGAGACCCCATTTTGCAGGTCTGCAAACAAAGGGTCCTGACAATGCAGGTCTGCAGCCAGACTCTTAAAACACGAAGCTACCACCGTCAGGATGATGAGCAGGGTTAGTTCTTCCTCATAGCATTTGTATTATTAGGTTAATCTAATCAGAACACCTTCGTCCTCATGTTTCCAAACAGGACCTCTTCTGACTTTAAACGATGGCTTTCTCTCTGTGCCCTCCGACAGATTTTAAAACTACAGGTGATGCAAAGCAAAGTTATCTGTAGGCATTTAAAGTCGTGGGGAAGCGGCTGTTCCAACGGCTGTAGTTCTGTATTCTCCCAAGTGGTACCCGGCTTTACAAGAGTGAATAAAGTGAATGTGATTGGTCAATTATTAAGAGGGCAGGATTGTTGTGGCGGAAGGTTTGCAAGCTTTCGGTTGCGGCCGCTGTCTCGGAAGCATCTTGCTAACAAATTAGCAACTTAGTGCTAGTAGGTTCCTAATGGGATGGGAAATTACATTGGGACCAAGTAGCACTGAGCAACGACACTGTCAAGGAACGCTATGGACAGCAGTAACATGCAAGAGGTGGAGAGTTTTCTGTCGGAAGTGGAAGAGTCTCCTTCATCATACATTTTTTATATAGAGGAGGAAAGCGGGGGCAAAGTTGTTGTGGAAGAGGACGCCAGGGCAACAAAAGCTTGGTTTGGTGTAGAAGGCTTACAGCCATACATGATTGAGCCCTTTCCTCGCAACGCTGCCAGTTCTGTTAGCTCTACGCCTGCTGAAGACACAGACGACCATCCCCGTGAACACTGGGACAGAACTCAATGGGAAAGGAAATGATTCCTATTTCAACCGTTGCGTATATTAGCTGCGACATATGAATCAAGATGCTATGACCGAAAAAATTTGATTGACAGATGACCGCTGATACATGATTGGCTGAATTTAGGTGTACAAAATAACGTATAACTAACTGGCCTGCATAAGATGACAAAAAAAAAAAAAAAAAAAACAGATTTTAAGAGGATTTTCTCTTAAACAGACATCTTTTTAACTTTTGGGACGATATGGTCTGATAAAGAGTACATTTATATGCATGTTTAAGCCAGAATGATTTGAAATTTAAATATGACCTCCCTACGACTTTACAGCGTTAAATTCTTGTATAATCCAGGCGGTTCAGATCGTGATGTAGAGGTGAAACTATTTGCATAGGTTATTGGCATTTAATTCAGAAATAGACATCTTAAAATGTGATGCACACAATAGGAGCAATTTCTGAGTTACATGCAATTTAATGTGACTTATATTTGTATATTTATAACCCAGCTCTACTTTCTTTCTCTCGTTCTATAAAGGGCAGATTTGTGGGCGGTATGACTCAGCCACTCCAAAGACTGCTTCTCCTATCTAGCATATTCAGCGATGGGTCCAAAGTTTGAAATACAAACTTCCCTCCAGAAAAAAAAAAAAAAAAAAAAGGCTTTTACCGGGCAGCTGGATTCTTTCTGAGCTCATTTAGTTACCACCCTGGGACTTCTGGCAGTAGTTTGTTGCTCTGGATTTTTAGGGCACTGAGGTAAAGGTTGTCAGCTAAAAGTGCAAATGCCTAATATAAATATACTAACTTCTTTAATATGCACCAGTTGCCTTTATTCATATTATTTTGGACAGAAGGAAGGAGATGATATTGGGAGAGAAATAGAAGACATTTCGTAAAGGTCAACAGGTCCAGGACTCAAATTAACAACAGCTGTCAAGGACTAAGGCTGCTGTAAATGGTCACATGCTTTAACCCCGGTGCTGCCGCATCGGCCCTTTTTCCATTTTTAACTCCACTCTATGATCATATGCTACTTTATGCCAGTTTAAAGCACTGAGTCCACATTAAATACCATGAATTTGCCCTTTTAATGTGAAAAATTCTAACTCGAATTTAGGAAAAAAAAAAAAATTATACTAACTCAGAACTAAAAGTAAAAAGCAAAGCTTTCGATCGGATATTTCATAATGAAAAACAAATGGTTACCTTTTGGAGCGTTGGTTGCCCAGTACCTGCACAATCTTGTCACTGTCAAGCAGCAGGTCGACTGCCTATAGAAACACAAGAGCTAATGTGAACACAGACTAGAGACTCTGAGCCAAACGGGCATATTGGAGGCATTTATTTTTACCTTTGCAAATGCACCAGTGGGATCAGCCAGCATTCTAACCTGCAGAGGAAAACTGACAATCAAAACAAATTCCCCAAACTTATTGTGAATTTCTACATAAATTTGCTTTTTTATTTCTCCCTCTCAATCATTTACCTTTCCCTCTGCTCCATGCTCCTTTCCCCATGCAGCCATGACAAATGCATCATTGACGGAGATGCATGCCACCTCATCTATACCTTTACTCCTCAACTCACCAGCTTGCTGCACAAAGCCTGGAAGATGAGTCTGTAAAGGACAAATACAGTCAGCTGATGCAGAGATCAGTGGGCAGAGGAGAGGCCAAGCGCTGGTAACGGGATGGGCTCACCTTAGAGCAGCCGGGGGTAAAAGCTCCAGGTACAGCAGAGAGGATGCCTTTCTTCCCCTTAAACAGCTGATCCATTGCTACTTTATTCCCTGGTTCACCCTCATGAACCTCCACAGCAGGAAGAGCTTCACCAACCTGATGCCATTTAACATAAAAAGATGTTAAAAAAAAATAAATAAATAAACTGGGTCCAAGGATTTAAGAAAACATGCATTTGTTCAATGAAATAAACACTAGCTTTTTTATAAAGTCTAACAGTAAAATACAATGTTGCTCCTAATTTGCATTTAATGAAAATAATAAATTGAGACTTGTTAAAATGTTAACTTTCTTATACTGTACCAGCTACAGGCACTTTTTTTTTTTTTAACAATCCAAGCATTGTTTTAATTTTTACCATATGAAAAACTATGATTTAATAAAAACTTCCTTTTATCTTTATAAATTTGTCAGAGTAGACACAAATATGGTTATAGAGGAAAATGTACAGCAAGTGCAATTTTATAATAATTAAACAATATCTAATTTATAAATTCTGGTAGTTTGTTTCTAATGTGTTTGACAGGTACATAAATTACAGCAAAATCCACAACTAAACGACTTTATTTTTTTATTTTTTTTAACAAATACTTTAAAAAGAGATTCCTTTTGATTGATTTGAAATTATGAGAATCAATTTTGATTTACTTGAAAATAAATTAAACCCGAGTAGTTGAACTAA